CGTTTTAAACAGGTTTTTTTTAACATATAAAATCACTCTTTTTCGAAGAATTTGTTCCGTTTAGGCAGGTTTTTTTCATTCCGTTTTGGACAGGTTTTACTGTAATATATATTAACTTTAATTGTAATTTATTAGTCGAAGGGTGATGCATTCTTCTATTTTTTTATTTTTTTTTTTTTCATTTTACAATAGCCGAATAAGCTGAAAATTTAACTACAAATTATAATTTAGGAGTGACAAAAGACGGATATGATACAAAAGTGGCTGTTGCGAGACAAGGGAATGAATGGATAAAGAAGAACTTTTTGATTAGATGATAATGGAGACAGATAAGAATCGTGTCAATGCAGATATGATAAATGCCAGGAAAAGACAGTACATATAAAAATCTCCAAATATTTGATGTCTTATCACAGTACCAGGTAATGCAAGAAGCAATTTTAAACGTAATTGCTTTTGGCTGTCACCGGTAGAATATAGAACCATCTTTTATCCAACGAAATTATAGAGAAGATTCGGATCATAATATCCAAAACAAAAAGAATTTTTATTTCCTTTTTTTGAATTATTACTCGATAATCTTCTATTCCTATTGGTAACTATTTAAAATTTACCTTTTATTAATCAGCCCCCCTAATTCCGGCCGGATTAACGAGGTTGTTAAGGGGTCAATCTACCGTTCTAAGGGAAGGTCGAAAAATCTCGTGAATTTTTAGGGGATGGCCCGTCCATTGTGGCCCGGCCATACCAACTATGGGTCCGAAAAAGGGTAGAAAGAATAGAAAAACACACACACACACACACACAATAATAATAATAATAACAATACGCTCGTTGGAGATAATTGCTTCTGTCATCAATCTTTGGCTCATATCGTGACATTTATACAAAAATAAATTAAAATTATTTATAAAAATAAACTAAATGTAGCGGTAAGGATAAAAATAACAACGTATCGATTTACGTGATTTTTATTTAATTTTTTTTTTTTTTAAATAATTTTTAAATATATTGAAAACACACACAAACGGTTACATTATATACTCTAATATTTATTTCATTAACAAGTTATAAGTGGCAAATAATGAATTATTAATAAAGCGTTAGAATAAATTATTAATTTGTTTATTTTTATTTGGCAGAGGCTTTGCATTCGCATTTAGAAATTTTATTATTAATATTAGTTATCGAGTGTCTTGTCTAACCATGCCGATACAATAGGATAATCAAGAGCTTCGTTACGTCAATGGATGTATAATTTGTGAGATTTATTCGTGGAAATTATTATATAATTTAAAAAAAATAATAATAATGATGATAATGATGTATTATTCTTTAACGAGTACGTATCGTTTACATTGATTGCGTGTTTTGTCACTAACAAAATCGTTAATTTATTAATAAAAACGAATGCAAACATGGCCCATTACATAATTATTATTTGCATACATTTATGCATATTTATAAAAAATAATTATCGTGTTTATCGATTAAATAAACGTTTTAAAAATTATTAAATTTTATTTTATTTTATTTTTTAAATGGGGAGGAAGGAAGGGAAAGAGGGGGGGTAAAGAGAAGGGAAAAGAGGGAAAAACAGAAAAAAATAAGGGGAAAAGACAGGAAAAAGGGAGGAGAAAAGGGAGAAAAAAAAATGTTAAATGTAAACTTTCATTCTTATAAATAGAAATTGGAATTTTTGCTTTTTATTTTTTAACTGCTTTTTTTTTGCTTATTTGTTTATTTAAAAAATAAGGGGGGGAAACTTTCTCGAAGTATATTTAATATTTATAACTTCTTTTGTATTACTTTACGCGAGAAAAATGGCGTTATTATTTATCGAAAAACAATACAAGTATACGATAAATATATCATCTATGCATCGATTGAGTTTCTAGTGGCGTGTATCGGCGATAAATTAATCATTAAACTTGTTTTTAAACAAAGAACATTAGACATATACTCCTAGGGATTATTAAGGACCTAGAACACTCAGGATATTTATATCTTTTTTTTTTTTAATAATAATTTTAAGGAGATATTTACTAAGGTTTCTTCTCATTAATATCTTCGGAAGCCCTGAACTAGCAATAAAAAAAAACGTTAAAGAAGTAGGCTACTCCCCCTTTTAAGCTTAATCATCAAAATCTTCTGACGTAATAATTGAAGGCATAAAGTCTATTCTACTTTTATTTCCTAGTGTAGATGACGATTAATAAAATTTTCCTTATTATTTATTATTTTAACTTATCGGGAACTAATTATTATATTTCATTAGGGCCCTTAGGGACGAAGAAATTTGTTGTTATGGACGAAGAAGGCGTTCACTTACGAATAAATCATCCTTACAGCTACTACCACCGAAAGCGCTGTGTATATAGCGCACGAGATCAGGTGCGCGTGGTGTTCCCCCTTTCAGTTGCTCGCCGACTGTAAGACCGAGAGGGGCACATCGTGTAACGTTTCGGAATATCGGCCAATGTGTCCTGGTTGTTGGCCCAAACTTCGGGCTTTCGCCTGATAAAAAAGAAAATCGATTTAGTCGACGTCGCGATGGACTTTCTATGACAGGTGTTCCTAACTCGAAACTGTTCTATAATTCACGACGTGTCCTGCACAGTTCGATCTACCGCCGCTTCGCGCGCAGATATTATTATCACCCATGTCTTACGTATTTCTTTCTCGTGACGTTACCAGTTTTGCTAAGATGATTATTTGGATGTTTACTACCTGTTCAGGTAAGTTCCATTATTTAAAAAAAAAAAATCATTGTTAACCTTAACTTCTCGGGGTGTTTCGAAGGGGAGGGAGGGAGGGAGAGGAGGAGGGATTTATTCCAACCGTCCAGCGCGTGTTATAAATAAATCCGGTTTACCTTTTTTACGAGGACGGTGTCGTGTTTATGTACGTCGTTGATGACAACATAAATCAAGTGATTTATTATTATAAAGTCGGATATGACGTAACGCTATTTAAAAAAATAAACGGTTTTCTGTTTTGAGTTGATTTTTCCACCATCTGGATTATGGCACACGAGTCACGTTTAATGCCATCCTTTTTACTAGGAACAGCTGAGGGTAAATTTTCTTTTAAGTCGAATTTCATTCCGAGTACCTTTTATTTTCTTTGGTGAATTCCAGTTTAAACCAATTACTTGTCTAGATTGACTCGAAAACAAAACAGCATTTCAAATGATTTCATTTAAAATCAAATATACTTTAACTAGTTTTTTTTCCTCCCTATTGATTCTTCTTGTTTTTAACTATCGGATAAATATTGAAGTTTTAAAACAAAATTGCATTTATATTAATTACTAGCTGCGTGTGTACGGTGTCGTTCGGGCTTTCGAGNTTCTCTCTCTCTCTCTCTCTCTCTCTCTCTTTTTTTTTTTTTATCAATTTTTAAATTGTTTGCTATGAAAATATTTGATTTTAATCTATAAAATTTCCTGTTTTTTCTTTTATTTTTTTAACATTTTATAAGCATTTTTAATTTAAACTTAGTTTAAATTAAATATACTGCTTAAGAAGTGTAGTGAAAGGTAATGATTGGAATTTCACCTCCTTTTTTTTCTTATTAATTTTAACAGTTTAACTGATAAAACATCGGTTTTTATGATTTATCAATTATTCATGAATTCTATTTATCGATAAGGCATAAATCTTTTTCTGACTTTCGAGCGTATCTCTTCGTCACTAGACACACGCAAATTAGCACTTGATACATATAAATAATTTATATATAACATAATTTAACGTCTCCTCTTGTTTTTTTTTTTTTTTTTTGTATAGTGTATAAAATATAGCTTATAGTCTAGCTTTAAAATTAGTAGTTTGTGGCTCCCTGCTGGTGGGGCCTGTTTTAGAAGCGTATCGTCTAGTTTTTGAGGCTCCTCGAGACCAAGACTAGGCCTTAGGCGCGCTTCTAGTGTCCGTCTAAGGTAACGAGCCTGACAATCGTTGCCATGTTCGGGTCCATGTTCGGGTTCGATTTAGTGGGAAGGTGTTCAAATTTAGTGGTGATTAGAGTTTCAATTAGTGGGAAATTAGTACGACTTGGCAACAGTACCGCTAATACCCGATTGTCGACTACTAGACGTCTCGAACTAGCAACAATAGATCGTTGAGATTATACTATATAAACAATTCGACAATTCGACAATTTTATAAGAATAATTCCTGAAAATCTTTATAAAATAAGGTGTATTCTGTGCACGAATGNTATATGTCAAGAGGAAATATCTTTCGGCTCAAGGAAACTATTTATAAAGGGATTATTTCTGTTTTGATTTTAAAAATATTGCTAGAAATTTCTCATTATAAACTTTCTCGAAGTATATTTAATATTTATAACTTCTTTTGTATTACTTTACGCGAGAAAAATGGCGTTATTATTTATCGAAAAACAATACAAGTATACGATAAATATATCATCTATGCATCGATTGAGTTTCTAGTGGCGTGTATCGGCGATAAATTAATCATTAAACTTGTTTTTAAACAAAGAACATTAGACATATACTCCTAGGGATTATTAAGGACCTAGAACACTCAGGATATTTATATCTTTTTTTTTTTTAATAATAATTTTAAGGAGATATTTACTAAGGTTTCTTCTCATTAATATCTTCGGAAGCCCTGAACTAGCAATAAAAAAAAACGTTAAAGAAGTAGGCTACTCCCCCTTTTAAGCTTAATCATCAAAATCTTCTGACGTAATAATTGAAGGCATAAAGTCTATTCTACTTTTATTTCCTAGTGTAGATGACGATTAATAAAATTTTCCTTATTATTTATTATTTTAACTTATCGGGAACTAATTATTATATTTCATTAGGGCCCTTAGGGACGAAGAAATTTGTTGTTATGGACGAAGAAGGCGTTCACTTACGAATAAATCATCCTTACAGCTACTACCACCGAAAGCGCTGTGTATATAGCGCACGAGATCAGGTGCGCGTGGTGTTCCCCCTTTCAGTTGCTCGCCGACTGTAAGACCGAGAGGGGCACATCGTGTAACGTTTCGGAATATCGGCCAATGTGTCCTGGTTGTTGGCCCAAACTTCGGGCTTTCGCCTGATAAAAAAGAAAATCGATTTAGTCGACGTCGCGATGGACTTTCTATGACAGGTGTTCCTAACTCGAAACTGTTCTATAATTCACGACGTGTCCTGCACAGTTCGATCTACCGCCGCTTCGCGCGCAGATATTATTATCACCCATGTCTTACGTATTTCTTTCTCGTGACGTTACCAGTTTTGCTAAGATGATTATTTGGATGTTTACTACCTGTTCAGGTAAGTTCCATTATTTAAAAAAAAAAAATCATTGTTAACCTTAACTTCTCGGGGTGTTTCGAAGGGGAGGGAGGGAGGGAGAGGAGGAGGGATTTATTCCAACCGTCCAGCGCGTGTTATAAATAAATCCGGTTTACCTTTTTTACGAGGACGGTGTCGTGTTTATGTACGTCGTTGATGACAACATAAATCAAGTGATTTATTATTATAAAGTCGGATATGACGTAACGCTATTTAAAAAAATAAACGGTTTTCTGTTTTGAGTTGATTTTTCCACCATCTGGATTATGGCACACGAGTCACGTTTAATGCCATCCTTTTTACTAGGAACAGCTGAGGGTAAATTTTCTTTTAAGTCGAATTTCATTCCGAGTACCTTTTATTTTCTTTGGTGAATTCCAGTTTAAACCAATTACTTGTCTAGATTGACTCGAAAACAAAACAGCATTTCAAATGATTTCATTTAAAATCAAATATACTTTAACTAGTTTTTTTTCCTCCCTATTGATTCTTCTTGTTTTTAACTATCGGATAAATATTGAAGTTTTAAAACAAAATTGCATTTATATTAATTACTAGCTGCGTGTGTACGGTGTCGTTCGGGCTTTCGAGGGGATTGGATTGGGAGGTTCGTACAATTGTCTTAATAACCGCTCCATCCCGAAGAATTTTTTTCATTTTGGGTAGGTTTTATTGTAGATTTTTAAATCTTCCTATTAAGAAGCTGCTCAAAATTTCAATTCTGAGAGAGATTTAAATTGAAATTCCAATTTTACAATGGAAGTAATTAGATTTAATTTCCAAATGGATTATATTACAAGACAAGTCGTCAATTTCTTCCTAAAGTATTAAAACGTGTCTCGTTCTTTCATATAAATGGCGATGTATAAATTGTGTTAATGGTCCCAATAAGAAATTTGACAATATTTATTGCTTAATGTCGTCTATTTATTAATATCGAACCAATTTTATCTAGCGTGACAAAGCATCTTCCCCAAAACGCGATAAAAAGACAATAACGATGATCCGGTGGATCAATATAATCGTGACAATTCTAAAACGTCTTGTCAATTATAACAGATGTAAATCAAAGTTCTTTGCATCCGTCGTATTGAACCAATGTTCGATATTAACTGTAGCAATTAGGAAATATGCAGGATCTTCCTGAGTTTGTACGAGACTTGGGAGTGGAGGGGCCCCTTTTCTTCCCTTAGTGGGCCCCTTTTGACGTTTTTCTCTGAACAAATGAAGTACTTAGAATGTTTCTTTATTAATAAAAAGTAGTTCTGTAATTTATAGGGAGTAGGAACAGTCAGATTTCTCGGAGTCTATGGCAAAGTCTACAACTCCCTCCCCCCTCTAGACGGCCCTATACAGTGTATATATATATATATATGTATATAATTTAAATCTATCGATTACAGTCTTGTATATTCATTAAATGGCAAAGTTTTAAGTTTTATTATTCTTTTCGCTTAAAGTTAATTACGCTAAGTCTACACCGTACTAAAATTAGTGAATGGTTAACGTTTCGAGTGTTTGTTAACTGTACTATACAAAATTAATTATTTAAGATTCCATTTTAAAATTGAAATCGACTAAATTTATATTATTAAGTGTAAAAGGAGCGGTTAAAATGAAGCATTTGAGGTTTGTTTACGGAAATTAACAGCCATTATTAAAGTAGATTTATACAGAATTTATGCATAAAACTACGATCTGATTTTATATTTAATGAGCAAACACGCATTTGTTATCGAAAAGTTAAGATTTATATACGGAAAAAAAAAATACTTTTCGAAATATTTTTTTCCTTTTAAATTAGCCGCATTGCTGTGGTCTTTTTAAGGGTGGGATTGACGAGGGTGGTACAATAAAATATACACTTATTGATTCGAGTATTTACAATAATAAAACTGCAAATTATTAAGAAAAATTGCTCGAGATTAAGTTAAGAGGGGTGGTCTTATAGTATTCTTCGTAGGAAAATACTATGGAGGTCACCCGACCACCACTTTCACGAACTTTGCCACCTATCAAAATGGCAATACTTTTACCTTAATACTACTTTATAAGCCGATAAAAATCTTTGTCTTTCTTCTGTTGTCCTTCATTTCTTCGCCATTTCTACTATAATCTAATATATAAAACCTTAAGTTCTTCTCTTCTAAACTAATTTTCAAAGTCAAAATTCTTCGAAAAAAAAAGAAAATAATAATAATAATAAATATTAAAATTTAAAAAAAGAATAATAATAATAATAATAAATTTCTTCAATGTTAACACAATAAACTTTACAAAACAAACATTGTCCTTTCGAGTGTAAAGTAAACACTGCTGTCTTCTGTTAAACAGTTGAAATGTAATTTTTTTTCTTTCTATTTTATTGGGTAAAATAACTTCTATTTTAATTATTTAAAAAAAAATTATATATTTATATGCTACTGGATGCTTGTTTGTGTTCCTCATTACTATTGTTTACATTAGTAGTCTTTTCACTGTTAGTACGCTCGCTCTTTTGTTCTAAATTACCGTTTTCTGTGTGATTTAACAGAAAACCGAGCTGTTTAATAAGAAATCGATCATTTTTAGTTTCTTTTCAAAGTTTCTAGATAACGTGACGAATACAGGAAATTAAACACAAGAGAAATAATTGAGAAATGAATATAATGGAAAATTGAGGTAGAAACTTTGAAAATTTTAATAAGTTCTCGATTAAAGAATAAAAATAGGCTTTAAAATAAATATATCGAAGTGTATAAATTATTATTATTTTGTTTATATAAGTTTATTTTAATATTATGTTAAACTACGACGTGTCGAAAATTCATCAGTCTTCTCTCTCTCTCTCTCTCTCTCTGTATAGAGGAGAGAGAAAACTGCATATAAATTTTGATTAAAAATTCCAAAAATATGAAGAAAAAATTTGAAATTTTAATGAACTTTAATACTTATATCAAATATTTTATTTTTGTTGTTGGTCTAGACGATTAATTTCTTATTAAAGTTGAAATAAATTGAAAAACCCGTGTCCGGTTTACACAGGTTTTACAGTATTATCGATTGAAAAATTTGTCGTGGTGTTTGGCATATTGTTTACCAGAGAAGAAAACACGTTTATATACTTTTATGGAGCGTAGTTTATCCAAGATTGTTACATTACTGGATTCTAGAGGTTGTAAATATCACGAATATCACCTAATCGTCATGAAACATCAGAACGATACGATAACTAATCTCATTTGTTATTGGTACATATGGGCGAAATATCGATTTTGCTAAAGAAAATCCCTTATATATTTTTTTTTTTCCTTCCTCTATTACAAAGCCGTACAGAGGACTAACAACATAAATTGTTGTTGGAAGGAATAAAGTTTCGTGGATACTCGCCCCGAGGAATCGTAAAACACAATAGAAAATTCCGATTTCGTAAGAGTTTCTGTATCGGAAATTTCCGTTACATTAATTCAGTCGTAAAAGTAATAATGTTCTGTCATTAGGTAAAGTAATTAACTGAATCTAATCAGTTCGAGTGTGATGAGTCATATTTGATTTCTTTGTTGACTAAAAATTGAATAAGTTTTCGATACTTAGAAGAAATTAATAAAGATTTTCATTCTTGTGTGTGACGTAGTGTTTTTTATTACTCATCGTCTAGTAGAAAATATCCTCGAAGAGTATTGTTAGGCCCTCTGCACTCGTTAATCCGACATTAACAAATTTTTGTGGCCCTCCAAATCGAAAACTTTGGGATAAATGCTCAAAGTTTTCGATTTGGAGGGCCACAATTCCATTATACTACTTGATAGTAGTAAAATAGAATTAAATTTTTATTTAAGAAAGAGTTGCATGACTTTTCCAGCCAAAAAAAAAAAAGTTGAAATTGTGTGCGGTTCCATCTGTTATGAAACATTTTTTTAAAATACAATAAACAGGAGATCAATAGTTAAACAACAGTACAGTATATAAGATAGACTATAACATTAAATAATTGAATAGACAGAAAAAATCGTTCTTAAAAGATTAGAAGTGTAAATGATTCGTAGTATACGTAAGAGTGCAAACAAACAATATATACAATTTCTATTAATTTGATTGAACGAAGAAATAAATCGATATTGTCAATAATACTATCGGTCAATTATAAGAGATTAACACGAGTCGAGATGCATTTGGCATTTGTTTTCTACGTCGCAGCCCAGGAAAACCATTGTGAAAGAACGCCCTTGTTATAAATCTTCACAATGATTCACGTGTAGAATATATATTTAAATTGTCTTTCATGCAAACGATTCGCCGAATCAATCTATAAAGCCTCCCCCTTCAAATATTTATATGTTTCCTCTATTTTCCTTCTGTAATATATTATTAAATGGTTCATTCTATTACTTTGGATTCTATTTAAATAATACAATAGAATAAATATAATTGTAATTTTATTTACTACAGTTTGAAAGTTTTTGAATAAGGAAAAAAAATTGAGTGAAATTAATCCAATTGTTAAATTTTACAAGAGTTTTAGAATGAATAAAAGAATAAAAATTAAAGATTAAATTTTTAAGTAAATGACTGGGATGGAATTATTAATCACACTTAAATTATTCGCATAATGAGATGTCGAGAAGTAAAAGATATTTTTCTTTGTTCTGATGGAACAACTTCGAAGTTTAACGTTTATTTTTAATTATCGAAATGCATACAATACATGGAAAAATTAACAAAACGAGGATGTAACAATAAAGGAACGGAATCCATTACGATAATGACCGTTATTGAAGTACACTGTACTGTACATTTACCACTTTGATGAGCATACACGCTGTATCTTTATAAACAAAAACCATATGTTTTGTCTTCCCTACCACACATATACTCTTATATATTACTTTTCTAGCTGTTATATAATAGAGGAAACATATAACACCCCGGATTTTTTTACATTTTTGGACTCGGAGGATATTGAAACGTCGAGAAATGCAAAAAATTTGAGATGTTTTTTT